GTTACGAATCATCAAATGGCGGTTGTCCAATTGAAGATCCACTTCCGATTCCTCTGTCACCACTGATTCCAGACCACCGGGTGGAGCTTTTCCAATAACTTCGTAGTAATCTGCATGAAGCTCAATTCCACCTGGAGCAGTTTGACCCTCAGGCACCTTGGACACAACACCTTTCACAAAAACTGTTGATTCCGGGGCAAGTGCTAACCCATCAGCTGTTTGAGGAAGACCATTTGCCAGAATGCATTGGAGATAACCAGTTCCATCACGAAGAACAATGAACATGAGTTTCTTGCTCTGACGACGAATGGCTTGAACCCAGCCGTAAACTTGCACTCGCTTGTCCAAATGAGTTTGAAGATTGCAAATTTTAGATTTGATAGCTGCAGGCAAACTCAAATCCTCTTTAATTTCAACTGCAGAAGGGGCAGAAGTAACGGTCGACACAGCAGGAGTGCCAGTAGTAGTTTCACCAGGGGCGGCTGATTTCTGCGACTGAATTTTATACTCCTTCATTTTTTTCTTCAGCTGAGTTTTTGATATCTCAGCCCACTTTTCCTCCGGCTTTTCAGTCGCATCCACATAAATTTTCAATTGTGAAACTTCTTCAAGGGTCATGACCTCAAACAATCTGTGAAGAGTTTTGTAGGGATGCTCTTCACTTCCATCACCACTACAATCATCCCCAAGTTTGTTTGAAACGTAGCGCTCTAGTATTTCTGAAATGGTACATGGGATAAGTCATTTGAAAAATAACAGACGAAATAATTGATAAAGCTTACCACCCTCAGTACCCATCACGATATTACAAAATCCTGCGAAGCTATGAAGGCCAGGCAATTCACTGTGATTAGGTTGCAGAAACAAAAATAAAAGTCATTTCAAATTTTAATCTATTACTCAAATTTAGATATACAAGTATATTGTTTCAATAACCTTGTTATAATATGAATTTTTATTATTTCTGAAATGCAATGAATTCTTATTCACTTTACATCTGTGAATCACTCTTCTTTCCCCCTCTCGAATATATAGGTATATATATATATATATATATATATATATATAGGCATATTTTAAACTTTTTAACTCTTCTTTATCATCCTATGGCATCGTAAATGCATAACTGATCCATTATATTGAGTTAGCTGTATAGGCGTCCGCATCTTTTATAATTTACTTATGATCTCATCTGCCAGGGGAAGGAATTTTAGCTTAAAATTTGCAAAACCTCAACTACTTGGAGCTTGGCAAATTGTAATTCAAAAATTCAGTCGCTTATATCAATATTAAATTAATATTATTTATTTATTTTTTCACGAGATTTTGTTGAACCCTTGCTGTGAACAGTTGAGTGCTCAGTGTACTGTTATTTGTGATTTTATGTAATTACATATTTTGAATAGAAATGTAATGTTAGTTTACCTTTCCATATTCACAGGGGACCTCTTTCTTCTAGGCCACCTGGAATTCTACAGATAGTCGCAAGGGTCTCTTTCAAGCTGAATGACTAACAAATAGTTGCATGGCCACCCTATTTCTGGCTAGTGCTCTCCACCTTGTTCATCAAGCCCCCAGTGTGAACTTGAACTGTGCTTGTTGATGATGAGTAGTTTGTAATTAGTATCTTGCATCCACGCCTCATACAGATTTAATTTGATTACTTTAGTTGACATTTACGAATACTCTCGGTACATCTAAAGATGAGGGGCAGACGCGCTACTGAAGATTGGTGCTCCCTGCTCCCTATTAATGTGCCCACAGCAGCAATCCACATGGCGATATAACGTGGGGTTGGTTGTCCACCAATCTCAAATTTGCCCAATATTTGACCAATCGTTACAACAACCAATAGGGCCACCTTTTGTTTTGGCCAGCCCTCGGTTGGCCATTCCGCTTAACGAGTGCGCATCGATGGGACTAGGTTCCATCAACTCGCATATGGCGAATATCCACTGTGGCCAATGCACCACATACTTCCTTAATTATATTCGCAATGCATTTTCTACTTAGAATTAACTTTTATTATGTAGTATTTTGGCCATTAACCATTCGGTCAGTTTCATGCAAATAATCGCCACCGGCCTAACACTCGTAACATAATGTCGGAATTTCGAGTAGTCCACGTGGAAAGACAATAGTGTTCTCTTATAATCCTATTTTATAGCACTGCAACACAGATCTGTTGAAAATGAGTAAGCACTGGGATTTGCATTACTTGAAAAGGGAAGATGACATCACAATGACATTTACAACAACAAAAGGAAGAATAAGACTTGATACTCCTTGTGCCGACTAACTAATCACCCCCTCTAAACTTTGGAGGGACACCAACAGTACAAATTTCAAATGTGATAATTTGTTTGAAATCGAATGAATTGGAACTACATTTTGAATATGAGAGTGGGAAAGNGGGGTGTGCGATAGACTTACCTCCACGTGGTGCCCACTAGGCAACTTATGCTCATACGACAAAACAATCTACAAACCAGCAGTTGACTTTGACTTCAAACAACCTTGACCCCACTGTATGCCATTTTCCACAGCTTTCATTGTACTCATTTACCTTTTCTCTGCCTTTGTGTCTCTCTGTCTCTTTTACATCTGTGAATCATTATTCTATCTCCCGCCCCCCTCCCTCCCTCTCGACTTTTTGTCACTTTCATGTTCCTCCTCCTCCTCTCTGTGAAGCCCGAAGTCAGCTAAAGGGCCACCAATAACTACCATAAAGCCTGTCATTTGATCTAAATAAATATTGGGAAATTTCACATAAAGATCAATTTTTTCAATCCATTTCAAATTCCTAGCCTTGAAAGCTTGCACAAGCAGACGTTAATTAAACATTAGCCCTCTTTTCTAACAACTCTTCGAGCATTTAAATTGCTCCAGAAATTAGATAAACTAGAAGGCATAATGTATGTAGTAGCAACCAAGCCAAGCGATTAAAATGCTATTGCTACCACGATATGTTGCTACAATGATTGATTGGTGGTTGAACGAGAAATCTCTGTGTTCTCGGCCTTGCATGCCCGCTACTCAATCAGTGGCACGGCCGTACCCTCCAAACTGTTTTAGACCTAAATAGAGCTCTAATCGAGTGGTCTCAATGCGTGGCAAGGCCTGAACTTCTATGGTACAAAGTGCATCCAAGAACTAATCTTCCTTTGAAGATTATTCACTTTCTCCAACGGTCAGAAATGCATTACATAGAAAGCTACGCATGACATGTGACGTTATTCAGACATACTACATATGAAAATGAAAAGAATTGTCGTTACTTCACCTCTGGTTCCCTAAGTCTGGTGAAATTCTTCTTCTTCTTCCTCTCAGCAGTTGGGGGAAAAATTTTGAAAGTGGCCATATCTTTGGCTGCAGTTCAAAATTAGTTAAATTGAATGAACTGAGTGGAACTAGACATTTTAGTCTAGTATAGCGAGAACACCTTGAAATAACACCACCCACGGTACAAAATGTGTCTCTCAGAGCATGTATTAAATTCTCGCAAAGTACTCAAAATAATCGATTCAACTATAAGGCGAGCATTGATAGTAATAGGTCTGCCTAAGTTAAGCTTTCAATTGGAAAAGAAGGCTATTCGTTCGATCAGAGAAGGCGGGATTTCTCAATAGTCATTACTACCATCTTCGCTTTCATCTGGCGCAAAACAAATTGCAACATGTTTCAACATCTCCTTGTAATTGAAGCAGCAAGACTGGTAGATTCACAATACACGGCCACTTTCAATTCCTTCCATATTAACAGTCTCTGCCAATCCCCACAATGGCAACCAATAAAATTAGCCTTGGCGCAAATCGCTCATGCACAAGCACGTGGAATGACTAGGTGAATGATGAAATTTCCTCTCAAATAGGCATCAGTGACCCCAACTTGTTCGCACACACAACATTTGAGGTATGAGCATTTCTTATCATCGCCAACACCATCCTTTAAAACGAAATGCGGGAGTACCGAGCGAAGAAACCAGGTAAATCAACTAACAAGAGGCCAAGATTAACAAATAACCGCATTTTGAAAGGAAAGGAAAGGATAAAACTACCAACACACCTAGCACTATCCTTTTCACACTCAATTTCAGCGTAAAGGCATAATCTTAAGTATTCCCTCTCAGTCTAAGTGCCTAAAGATGACAATTGATATGAAGGACAAGATACTGCACTTCGATACTAACTACTTTAAAACCGACAGTCCATTTTCCCACTTAGCCAACTAACCAGATAGCGTATACCATCCCCCAAGAACAAGTGGAAATGTTAATATTCACAATTCATTTGCAATTAGGCCAATAATTCACACAATCGTAAACACGAGGAGGCAGATCCCTCAAGGTCTGCAACGCCCAGTGAATCGTGGATAGAGGCACACATCACGAATGTGATATTGTCCTAGGAGCCAAGTGCAGAATCTCTCGAATCCCAAACCATAGCCACCATGGGGACAGGTTCCGAACTCACGCTAAAAGAGCAAAAAATAGACACATGAAAGGAAGCAATGAGTAGTAACAAGTTAGGAGGGATAGTAACAGCACAGTGGACTGGGAAGTAGAAGTTAATAGGAGGGCAGACACTCACCTGTTGAGTGTACCAATAGTAGGGAGATGGATCGATTCCCTCTCGTGAATAACCAGCAAGGAGACCTTTAATGTCAGTCATCCTCATTGACCCACCAACAATTTCTCCAACACCGGGCATCAGTAAATCAACCGATTCTGTCACAGATGGATCATTCTTCACACGCTGCATGTAGAAAGCCTTCAGTTCAGTAGGGAACTTGGTCAATAGGATAGGAGTACCGATTCTATCAGTCATCTCTCGCTCTGGTTTCTCTGGAATATCATCTCCAAACTTGAACATCTCACCGTCCTCCTTGTAAATCTTCTCAGCCTCCAGCCGCTTCAGAGCATCACGGTATTCCAATCGCATGAAAGGTCGTTTTGGTGGCACGAAACCCTAAAACACCCAACAAATGGCATTTGTATAAATACATTTAAGAAGGGAGAAGTGACTAAACAAATCGACTTACAGGATTTATCTCCAAGACTAAGTCTCCAACCTCCTTCATAACGCGCTCTGTTACATCACAAACCAGATCTTCAATCTGGTTCAAGAGATCATCGAACTCTATGAAGGGCGATTCAGCCTCAATATGCAAGTACTCAGATAAGTGCCGACGTGTACGACTCTACAACGAAAATCCACTTTTCAACTCACAAACTACTTCCGCACGAAAATTAAGTCAACCAAACGAGACACCAACATACCTTCTCAGCTCGGTAGCTACGAACCATGCAATAACAGTCTCCAACAGAAGGTAGACAAGTCTCCAAGTAAAGCTGACTTGACTGCGTCAAGAAAGAAGGTTCACCGAAGTAATCAATTTTGAAGAGAGTCGAACCACCTTCAACTTGGGTTTGAACTAAGGTCGGAGGTTGAACCTCCTTAAAACCACGAGATCTATAGTGATCTCGGAAGGCTAGGGATGCAGCACTGATAACCTTCAAAATCTTCGACTCCTTTTCGTTACGAATCATCAAATGGCGGTTGTCCAATTGAAGATCCACTTCCGATTCCTCTGTCACCACTGATTCCAGACCACCGGGTGGAGCTTTTCCAATAACTTCGTAGTAATCTGCATGAAGCTCAATTCCACCTGGAGCAGTTTGACCCTCAGGCACCTTGGACACAACACCTTTCACAAAAACTGTTGATTCCGGGGCAAGTGCTAACCCATCAGCTGTTTGAGGAAGACCATTTGCCAGAATGCATTGGAGATAACCAGTTCCATCACGAAGAACAATGAACATGAGTTTCTTGCTCTGACGACGAATGGCTTGAACCCAACCATAAACTTGTACCCGCTTGTCCAAATGGGTGTGAAGATTGCAAATTTTAGATTTGATAGCTGCAGGCAGACTCAAATCCTCTTTAATTTCAACTGCAGAAGGGGCAGAAGTAACGGTCGACACAGCAGGAGTGCCAGTAGTAGTTTCACCAGGGGCGGCTGATTTCTGCGACTGAATTTTATACTCCTTCATTTTTTTCTTCAGCTGAGTTTTTGATATCTCAGCCCACTTTTCCTCCGGCTTTTCAGTCGCATCCACATAAATTTTCAATTGTGAAACTTCTTCAAGGGTCATGACCTCAAACAATCTGTGAAGAGTTTTGTAGGGATGCTCTTCACTTCCATCACCACTACAATCATCCCCAAGTTTGTTTGAAACGTAGCGCTCTAGTATTTCTGAAATGGTACATGGGATAAGTCATTTGAAAAATAACAGACGAAATAATTGATAAAGCTTACCACCCTCAGTACCCATCACGATATTACAAAATCCTGCGAAGCTATGAAGGCCAGGCAATTCACTGTGATTAGGTTGCAGAAACAAAAATAAAAGTCATTTCAAATTTTAATCTATTACTCAAATTTAGATATACAAGTATATTGTTTCAATAACCTTGTTATAATATGAATTTTTATTATTTCTGAAATGCAATGAATTCTTATTCACTTTACATCTGTGAATCACTCTTCTTTCCCCCTCTCGAATATATAGGTATATATATATTTATATATATATATATATATATAGGCATATTTTAAACTTTTTAACTCTTCTTTATCATCCTATGGCATCGTAAATGCATAACTGATCCATTATATTGAGTTAGCTGTATAGGCGTCCGCATCTTTTATAATTTACTTATGATCTCATCTGCCAGGGGAAGGAATTTTAGCTTAAAATTTGCAAAACCTCAACTACTTGGAGCTTGGCAAATTGTAATTCAAAAATTCAGTCGCTTATATCAATATTAAATTAATATTATTTATTTATTTTTTCACGAGATTTTGTTGAACCCTTGCTGTGAACAGTTGAGTGCTCAGTGTACTGTTATTTGTGATTTTATGTAATTACATATTTTGAATAGAAATGTAATGTTAGTTTACCTTTCCATATTCACAGGGGACCTCTTTCTTCTAGGCCACCTGGAATTCTACAGA